GTAATCTTTTGTTTTTTTGTTTTGTAAATATAAAACCATATTTTTGACCAGAAAACCAAAATTTAACAATATTATTTTATACTAATTTCGTCTTTAACAAAATGATCTAACTGATACGATTTACTGTTTATGCATACATGTCAAACCTGAAAGTTGAATTCAATTATTGAAAATCTACTTCAATTATTCAATTATTGAGTAGTTGAAGTTCAACTATTCAACTATTCAATTATTCAGTTATTCATTTTTTGGATAGTTGAAGTTCAACTATTCAACTATTCACTATTCTGAAATCTGATGATGATAATTATTTAAGGAATGATAAAAGTGGTTGATCGAGATCCTATCATTATAGTTACAGAAAACAATTACTGTAGTTTTCTTATACCAAAAAAGCTCCAAATATCCTGATTTTCGAGTATTTGATTCAATTTGTACACATGAGCAGATAGTTACACTTTCTTCTCATTTACTGGGTAATATTTAGTTCGCATACGTTAAATGTCAGTATCATGATAATTTGCTAACGAGAGAACATTCTCAAGTGATACCCTCCGTTAGAGCTCATACTTTGCTGATCGATAAGGTTAGTGGTGTAGACAAAAGCCCTGAAAGAATTTATTCCAATGCTGTCTGCAGGATGCAGCAATGTGATTCTTTGCTTTTTATATATCGATAATGAAACATATTTTAAGCTGAAATTATTTTACAAATTCATCTCATCTATGACTACTTGTTGTAAAAATCTTAATTGAACGATGATTAGAATAAAAATACTCATGCCATTTACTCGTCCTCTTACTACAAATCTGTGTCTATTGGAACTATTTGCTCTCGTTTTCGAAAAAAGTTCCAATAAAACAAATTTAAATAAAATATATTTGATAGTACAGTGGAGTTTTGTTCTGTCAAGTGTATAGAACAGAAAAAGTCGTTAGAGGAACTTTTCTTCTCTATCTGTCGAGCGACAAATCAGATTCAATTGTGACTTATAATCGTATACTTTATCGAATACATCATAATGTCCAACTCATCAACGATTGGAAAAAACATCTTCTTTGTAACGCACATTAGGACGTCGCTCGAAACTACACACTCGATTTACTCAATGACTCAAGTGTCTTTATAGTGGTTGATTTGACCATGAAATAGTTGACCACTCGATACAAGGAGCATCAGAGAGTTTTTTGGTAAAAGACAACTTCCATGGCACATCATCTACGTTATTCGACTAAACAAATTGTTATCTCTGTCATCGTCATCATTTTCTTCATCTTCTTTCTCTATTTGATACTCGATCGGAAAACAAATTGATCTCTCTTGAAGGAAAGTTTAATTGATAATCTCAAGTTTTACTTTTCAGCAATTGATTAAATCGACAGGAAAATTGAAAATGAATGTGGAAATAAATCAGAACAATGCAGTTTTACTTTTGCCGTCGCGTTTTGTGTTATTGATTCAAATTTAGAACACTCATCAGGACTCTGCATATAAAAAAATAAATTATTAAACAAAAGATTTACAAAAAAGAAATAAATACAGATAGAAAATGATCAAAGAATAAATGGAAAGAATCAACAACGAGATGGTCAGAATGCAAATGAAAACAATGTGTTGGTGCGCCAATGATTTAAAAGCGTTCACAATGACGCTTTTAAAATCAGACCAAGAATCGCAGGGATTACGCACACGGTACTATTGCTTGGCATCTCCAGCTAAATACGTTGGTACAATTGTTAAGCGGTCTTCAGAAAAAAGTTCAAGTGGTTGCATACCCTTGAGAAGTATTTGTGTGGACAATGAATTCAACATCTTATTTTGAGCTTTACGTTCTTTTTCTTCTTGTTAAAGTTGGAGAATAGGGACGTTACATTGAGTACATGCAGATGTGTTGGTACTCCTTGTTCACGTCGTGTTGATATTGATTTAGGATGACATGGATCGATAAGTCCTTTTGATGAATGAGGAAGAAGACCAACTTCTCCATTAATGTTACGTAATGTGGATCTGGACTACTGAAATTGTTAATTCTTGACGAAAAAAGAATCCCAACTGAATCAAGCATAATAGAACAATCGGTAGAATGTATGATGAGAGATAAAGGAACAACAGGATAATGGAGAAGTCTGAGAATACATCGTATACCGCGATGTCGAACATTGTGGAATCAGTTCTGGCTCAAGAATCAATCCCATCCGATCCCGGAATTCCTGAAAATAACTTCCAATTCCGGAATCGGAAGGAATTCCGCACTGGAATTACTTTTGCCCTCACTCCCATGCACAATGGTATGGTCAGAGGTTAACCTCTTGGATAAGTAACTAATTGCGACATGGAATTGCAAGCGATTCCTGGAATTCCGGAATCGGAAGGAATTCCGTGCGTTCCGGAATTGTAAGCGATTCCGAAAATTTCGCACCGAAATTACTTCTCTCCCTCACCCTCATGCATACTGGTATGGTCAGTGGTTAACCTCTTGAATAAGTAACTGATTCCGACACGGAATGCTGGAATAGGAAGGAATTCCTGAATTGGAAGTTATTCTCAGAAATTCTGATTGGACGGAATTCCCGAAATCGGATGAAATTGATTCTGAAGCCGGAACTGATTCCGCAATGTTCAACATCGTGGAATAGGATGGCTGCTCAGAAGTCTATGCGTATGTGTTTACACGTATAATGGAAAATTGCGCAGTGATTGGACAAATCATGTAGATCTGCACTGCCACTTAGCAATCACATGCAACTTTAGAAATAGTATCAGCTAAATGCATGGCCATGGCCACATTGGTTAGGACAGGATTCCATGATCCACCACTAGGCCACAATGCTCCCCCACTGATGTAGATATTATCCACACCTCGGAGGCGGTAATCAAGGCTCACTGGTGCTTCAGTGTCTCTACTGTCTCCTATCCACATTGTCGAGGCATCATGGACAAGAAGCTTTTTGCGTATCTGCTCTGATGGAGGAGCGTTTTTCCTCCAAGTTTTGTCAGTCTCATGCCAGTATTCAAGATCATCACTGTTTGCGGAGGATGAGAGTTTGTTCATCACCTTAAATGTTACACTATCCATCAAGTCCCACAAGTGTTTGTCCTGATCATTAAGATGGAGCGTCAGTTCTCCATTGGTGGTGAGACACTGACAATGGTTGGTCAGGTTAAACTGGTTGCGTTTGTTCTTGTAGTCCAGCCCTCCCAGTGTTGAGCAAGACACTACAACAAAGTCTTGTGACATGTCGATGCACTCTCTAGGTATCGAGTTGGCTGAATATTTCTTGCAAATGTCATGAATATCGCTATCATCCTTACACCGTGTGTAGGCCACTCCCGATAATTGAAGATGATATTGTGCCTCCTCTTCCATGCCTGCAATGTATACTGCACCCAGCTCAACATCAGGAGCATTGTCTGTCGGTGATAGGCTTTGTCTGAGGACTCGAGCTATTGCTGAGCTGACAAAATGAGCTGTGAACCTCTTTCCAACATTAAAAAGTTGAGGAAATTCAGTCTTTTCGAAAGAGTTGAGTACTAGTGTTGTAGCAGGCAATGTACTCATTGCTAAAATCAGTTTGCTGTCATTGAGAGATAAGGTGGTCCTCTGGCTTGTTTGAAGAGCTGTTGCTTTCTTTCCATCATGCAAAATTTTTTCCACTGTGCAATCAAAAATCACAGTAACATTTTTCATAGATAGTAACATTTCTACAGTGGAAAATTTTATGGACCTAAGGAGGCAAAAAAAGACAAATGTAATATTGACTTACAAAAGATCACACAAAAGCCGAAATTCTCATAAAATTCTACTTCAAATCTAACTCACCGATTGTTGCCCATAGCAAGTGGAGCATGAAGAATTTGTTCAACTGATTCTATGTTAGCAGCACTATCCAGGCATTTTTTCAAGCAAGCCTGAAATGCACGATAGAGAAATTTATTATTTTTGCGTGCATTTATTTTATTTGCTGCAATGACACTAAGAAATTTACGTGCCAGGTCAAAATATGTTTCTTGCAATGGAGTCGTGAGATCTTCTGGCCATCCAACCAGTTCTTTGAATGAGGGTGTTGGGCTCCATCCACTCCAATAGGTAGATCTTCCTCCAAACAATGGTATCTGACCATGCACGTTCTTAACAAATTCGTTCTGTATGGTTTCATGAGAGATAGACCAGGGTCTACATTCCACTTCTCCTGAAAGGGAAGATGAAGAGCAATGCTGATGGTGTTGAGATAAATACTTCAAGCCTTTCTCCAACACAATGATTTTTGCCCTTGGATTGTTCTGCAAAGTCTGGTGAATGAAGCCCAGAGAACAAAACGAAGAACCAATCACAACGTAGTCGTAATAATTGTCAACTAAGTCGGCAGTGGTCTTGGTAGTAGTAGGGCGGCTGCTTAAGAAGTTAGGATCAATGTCGCGAAATGTTTGATCGAATCCTTCGCAAACGAAAAAGACACTGGAAGCTTTACCGTCGAGGTCATTCTCGGCAAGTAGTTCAAGACCGAGCTTATTTTCCGCAGCAGCAGAAGCAGCGGACGATAACCGAAGCAGTAAGCGACGGTCGCCGTCCTTAACTTTCAGCGGCTCGTTAGATGTTAACCTGTTTCCCTCTAAGCTGCTGATAAGCTTGCTCTTCGTATCGAAAGTGAGACACATCGAAGAAACTTGGTTAACCAGAATCCATGATGAGAGATGGTACGTAAGTGTCCACAGCGCATTTTCCCTCGTCGGCTTGGTCAAGGTCTCAAGGATTAATCCGCCGCCGCAAGCTGCTATGAGCCGGTTATTGTAATTGATGCAACGGAGAGATAGACCCAATATTTGTGACATTTTTAACTACAGACAGATCGAATAATAACGGACCATTACCGTTGCTCGAACGACGAACACGATTCGAAATTCATTTATACCATTTAACAAATCTATATAAAGTTCAAATCAAATCAATATCTCACATATATGATGAAACGAAGATTAATATTGTAACTTTGTTTTTTCCTTCCATCTGAAGAATAGATAAAATGCACAGCATTAACAAAAAAATATAATGTAATGACGATTGGCAGACATACCAACTGCTATTACAGTTATTATTATTATTATTGTTAATGTTGTGCAGTTGATCTATTCTTTAGATAGAAGGGAAAAGCAAAATCGACTGGAGTTGAAATATTAATCTTTGATTCATTATATATGTAAAACATTGATTTTTTGTAGCAGAATGTTTCTGGTGTGAATCTTAATTTAGAAGATTGAAAATATTAAGAGAGGGTCCGCCAGAGCACCGACCAGAGGTCCTAATGGGCTAGGTTGATTCAACTTTTGTGAAACACGTTCTAAAATGAGTGGGTGTGGGTGTAGATGTGTGGGTGTGGGTGTGGGTGTGGGTGTGGGGTGTGTGGGGTGTGGGGTGTGGGTGTGATTGAGGTGTGGGTGTGGGCGTGGAGTGTGGGTGTGGTTGAGTGTAGATGGTACGATTATTCGCACCGCCAATCCACACCCCACACCCACACCCACACCCGCACCCACAACCACCCACACTCACACCCGCGCCCACACCCACCCACACTCACACCCACACTCACACCCACACCCACACCCACACCCACAGCACCCACACCCACCCTACTATGAATGGCCATCATTTGCCACAAATGTGGATTCCTGAATTTATTCCTAAATCATATCCACATTTATAGCTAATTAAGCAATTAATGTCTGCACTGGTGACCGGATAGGAGTTTTAATTGAGGGATTTTTCAATTTAGGAATTTTTGTTGAATATAATGTATGCAATACATAATGTAATTCGATGCCATCCTACTTATATCATACTATCAACTCTATATCTTGAAAATCAAGTACTTTAACGAATATTGTGCTATCGGTAAGTCTACTATGGTCATCAGAATTGTTTTGTACGCATTCTCTAAATTCGCTTACACATATTTACATTTCATTTTTCTTTTTTTGTTCGTCCTCCAGTATATATGTCGAGGAAAGAACAATGAAATGTAAATGTATGTGTAAGTGAATTCAGAGAATGCATACAAAGCAATTCTGGTGATCACAGTAGATTTACCGACAGCACAACATTCACTAAAGTACTTGGTTTTTAAGATATAAAATTTTCAGTATAATAGAAGTAAGATTGTATTGAATTACATTATGCATTGCACACATTACATTCAAAAAATTCCTAAATTGAAAAGTCTCTCAACTAATCCTTTGCGAACGGAATTTTTTTCAATCGACAAATGGTTCTTCAATCAATTTACTGTGTTTGGCCCAAAATGGTTACATAAAAGCTTCATGATAATACGTCAAGAAAAGCGAGGGAGAGAACATGACATTAGTGTATGATAGCCGAAAGAAAGAAGAAAGTCCGAGAAGAAGGGCGTGGGTGCAGGTGGGTGTGGATGTGTGATAATTCTTCATCTACACCCACATGACACCCACACCACACCCACACCTGCTCAAACTATTGAGTTCAAAAGTAGTAAATTTTTTTAACAAAGTTGGTATATTCAGATTACTGACTAGCTGTTTTGCATGATTGTAATAGGTAGCGTTTACGCATGTTGGAAAAATTTGAGGCAATTTTTAAGATTTCTTGAACGCTTATGCGATTTTAAAGTTTTTTAAAAATCTTATGACGTCTCATGAAGTCTCTTGAAGTTTTTAGAAGTCCTGAGAAGTCTCATGAAGTCTATAGAAGTCTCGTGCTCTTTAGAAGTCGCGTGAAGTCTTTTAACTTCGTTTGGAGTCATTTGAAGTGCGTTGAAGTCTCTTGAAATCCACTGTTTTCCCCTTGAGGATAGGGGAATGGAATAACAGAGAAGGAAATGGGCATGAAATAAGGGAAAGGAGATAAAGGAAACGGGATAGTATAAGGAATAGCAAGATGTTATTAGGTGAATGGGATATAAGAGAAAACTCAATAGGGAAGGAGAACAGTTATAGAAAGGGAGTACTTTTAGTGGAAGAGCTTAATGATGTGTAAACTCGGGTGAATAGAGCTTCAGAAAAATCTAATTACAATCGCACATATGGTTAGGTCTAATCTAGAATGTGCCGCATCTGCTATGGAAAAATAGTGTCGCGCACATTTAGGTGCCGCACATAATATACTGTACCTACTGGGGAAAAATTGTGTCGCAAACAAGTTTTGTGTGAAGAAGAAGAATTCAAATGTAAAACGAAAGCAAACTTATTCTCTGCAGAATAATGCCTTTTCTTATAAAGGCTTTTTTCCCAGTGAGATCAACAGCAGCTACCTCGAAAAGTAATACAACACAAATTTCAATTTTCAGTTTGTTTTTAGTGAATCATTGTGGGTGACGTCATGTGGGAAAAAAACAAAGCTATAACTTTGTTTGCTCTCGATATTTTTTACATTGAGAGAACAGATAAATTGAACAAAACGACCTAAGTGAAGTTAGCAGCCGATTTGTTTAGGAACATGTTTCAGACGTTCCATTCATGCTCATGTTAGCGTCAGTAGATGTGACTCGTCGATGTCAACTGGTTCTTATTCTATTCCTGTTTTTTCCTTCTTTTAATCCTTTCTGATGTCGACCATTTGATGTCCGTTCTCCTTGTTGATTTTTCTTCTTCAATTCGGTTGTTGTTTATTTTTCTTCATTATTACATCATGGTTTTAAATGTTTTATTTTTTGCAAAATAAAACATTTATATTCTTGGACGCTGATCTTCATTCCTATATCACGACATACAACTTCGGTAAGATTTTGTGTTTACGTGAGAGACATTTTGTATTCGGCAGACATAGTTCCTTAGTCTCTTTTCAGCCTACATTATATACGAAAAGAGATGACTATTGATACAGATTTAGATTGAGGCTCCCACAGATATTGGGTAAGAATGTCCTAAGGTCTGAGAGTAGGTTAACTTATAGCACTTTTGTCTCGTTGCAGTCTAGGTTAGGGGTGGGAAGTTACCATTACCGTTCCCGGGTAACGGTAACGGTCCCGTTACCGTTACCTGGGTAACTGGTAACGGGACCGTTACCAGTTACTTTTTCCTGGTAACTTCTCTAAAAAGATGAATTATTACTTCCCATCAACAGAATTTTGCAACTACGTTATTTTTTAAGTTGACCCGTTCCCAGGTAACTGGTAACGGGTAACAGTTGCCAGGGTAACTCCAAGTTTTTTTTACTGGTGTATTGTCAATATTCGGTCCAATAGAAGTGATATTTAGTCTTTTCAAAAAGTTACCAGGGAAAAGTAACTGGTAACGGGACCGTTACCAGTTACTCGGGTAACTGGTAACTCCTTCCATAGGAACCGTTACCGCTACCGTTCCCGGATAACGGTCTGGGAACGGTAACTTCCCACCCCTAGTCTAGGTGCTATTTAGTGATGGCCATACTGCTTTTTTATGGAAGGGTGTGGGTGTGTGGGTCTGGATGTGGGTGTGGATGTGGATGTGGGTGTGTGGGTGTGGGTATGGGTGTGGGGTGTGGGTGTGTGGGTGTGGGGTGTGGGGTGTGGGTGAGTGTAGGTGTGGGTGATATTCCTCTCTTTAATCACACCCACACCCCCACACCCACACCTCACCCACACCCACACCCACACCCACATCCACCCACGCACCCATACCCACACCCACCCACGCACCCACACCCACGCACCCACACCCACACCCACACATACGCTCACCTGCACCCACACCCATCCACACCCACGCTCACCTGTACCCACACCCCACACCCACGCTCACCTGCACCCACACCTACACCCATACCCACACCCACACTCGCACCCACACCCACACCCATACCAACATCCACACCCACCCGCACCCACATCCACCCGCACCCACATCCACACCCATCCAATAAATATGGTATGGCTTGAAGTTGCTCAGACGGTGATAATTGATATTGTTTAAATTGAGTAACTGTCTTGGCTAACCACATTTCAGCATCACCATTGCCTGAATATTTAGTAAATTTATCACGAATGAGTTGCCTAAGTTGGACTAATTCATGCAAAGATAGTGAGGCATGATCTTTTCTAGCATAATCAATACCAATTTTCAATCGATTATAAACGTATTGTTTTAATTTATTACAAAAACATAACCAACCACCATTTATTTCTTTTTTGTGTTGTTCATACGGTATTTTTTCTTTCTCTTGAAAATGTGTCGTAGAATATTGTACACGAAATAAATTTGAATAACGTAACTCATAGATATTTTGTAAATTTAGTAAGTATTGATCAATATTTATCATTTCTTCTTCAGTCAATAGTTTAATGGAGTTTAATCGTTGTTGTTCTAATTCACGAAATGTTTCGATATATTCTTGAGATAAACGTACAGAATCTATAACTTGGTTTTTGGGATCATCATCCAATTCCGCAATAGAATGTGCTGTCGACATAGTTGTAATAGGATCAATTTGAAGAGATAATTCACCTTTTACTTGTTGACGAGAAGATTTATATTGTAATTCAGAGATAGAAGTTGTATGTAAATCCAAATTTGACCGAGTGCACTTAGGCATACTAATGATAACATATAATAAAAAAAATTAGGCGCAATCCTCAAATAAGGATGTTCCCAAAAATCCAAAGTAATTAAAATAAATAGCAGCTAACTTTGATTTGTACTTAAATCATCGCTGTCACCACTGTTATGTTCTACTTTTTATAAGGGGAAAATATAAATTCATATTCAGTAGAACATAATCCGTTTTTATTTTATAAAAAACACCAACTGACTGTAACATCACACACATATATATGTCGGAGTTGACTCTAAAATTCAGTTGACTTTAAAAGGGAACTAGTTGACTTTAAAATTGAGAAAAGAACTAGTTGACTTTAAAATTGAAGAGACAACTAAGATGGAGCTAGTTGACTTTTCAATTTCGAAGACAACTAGGTGACTTTAGAATATGACACATAAGTAGAGAGAAGTTAGTTGAATTTACTATTTTAAAGTCAACTAGTTGACTTTAAAATGTAGAAAGATAAAGTTTTTATGCACTATTTATGAATAATTATTTTATAACTGGTTGAAAGTCACTTCTGTGACTTGGATAAAGAATTAACTTATAATTGTTCTCTCATCTTGTTGTAAAAAAAATGAAAGACGCGTTCTATGTAAAACTAAAAGCCCTTGTAGCTGAATTGGATGTCAAACGACAATCCAAGTACTTAATAACAACTGAAACATACAATAAAATATTACATGTACTATTTAAGAACTGTTCATACTGATCAATTACCTACAATTACTTTTATACAAGCAGCTCAAATTTATACAAATTTCAAGTCATCTGAAACTTGTAAATGTTCCGGTGATTGTAACACAAATCGATGCTGTTGCAAGAAAAATAATCGAAAATGTTGTACGAAATGTCATAGCAATAGGAGCTCAAAATGTAATAACTGCTAAAACGTTTTTTTTTAACTGTGGTTCAACCTTTTTTTTTCGTGATGTTATATCTTTGTTTAATTATTTTTCTTGATTTATGCTATTTTATGAATACTATGTTCAACATATAAAAACGTACAGACTATTTTTTTAAAGTCAACTAGTTGACTTTAAAATAGTAAATTCAACTAACTTCTCTCTACTTATGTGTCATGTTTTAAAGTCGCCTAGTTGTCTTCGAAATTGAAAAGTCAACTAGCTCCATCTTAGTTGTCTCTTCAATTTTAAAGACAACTAGTTCTTTTCTCAATTTTAGAGTCAACTAGTTCCCTTTTAAAGTCAACTGAATTTTAGAGTCAACTCCGACATATATATATATCAAAGGAGAGAAGAAAGGAAAGAAAAGAAAAGAAACAACATACACAAAGATGATGCCTCGATATATACATGTTGAATCATAACACTTGTATTTTGACGAATAGTGCTACCATTGAAAAAATCTACAGTTTTTGATGACTAGTTGTTGCAAATACTGTTACTATTCATCTCTAAAAGGGCGCATGTATTTGATTTGACCACGACACTGTATTTAGAAAAGTTTCCTAGAATCTATTCACTTTTGTACTTCATGACTTTTTTTATCCAGAACAACAGTAGCGACAATGAAACTGTCCTAATCAGAAATATATAATCATGCACGCATTTTCAAAAACATGATTGATGATAACAAACAAAGTGGTTCAGTTTCAAATTCTTGTGTCTGTAATTGTGCGCGTGTAGTGAAGTACGTTTGGAAAACTTATATAATTCAAGTACTATATCATTATAATTGATTTCTAAGACGGTCTTGAATTTTTTTTATTAGAATCGACTAATTTTGGAATGATGGAAGATGCAACTCATGTCGTCTTGTTCTCCAAGTGACGTTCCTTCAAGATAAAGGTTTGCTTTCAACAGCGACAAATATCAACGTTTTCGAAAGTCGCTTAAAGAATTATCAATAACTATCATAGTAGCCTTCTCTTCCTATCAAGCGGTTCTCAAGGCCACCTAAATCAAAAGCTTTCCTAGACTCACAGCTGCCAGGTTATGCCTTTTTCATAAATAAGAAGAATTTCAACTGCTCAAAATACCATGATGTTTTTCTGTTTTTTCTTCTTTGTTCCACCAACGATAACCTCAATACTTATTGGGGTGTGGGTGTCGGTATGGTAGAGGATTTGAATATTCTCCGTAACGACGACTACACCCCATTCACATACACTCTCAACAAGTGAAAAAATATGTTTTAGATTTTAGACTTTGTTTTCGTCTTATGCTGTTCAATTAGGACCTTTATGTAAGGTGCCAATGTTCTCTGTCCCGTTCCAAAGTAACGGGAACCTACTTGAAAATTCGTTTCTACACGTTTTCAAACATGCCGAGATGTTCAGGTTTTACCTTTTATTTGATTTTATAGAAGTCACTATGTGTTACCGGATTCCTATGAATGGAGTCAGAAACGGACATCCGTCACTGTGAACAAAAAACATGGTCATGTAGGGCTGCAGTCATCAGCAATGAATAGAAAAGAGCCTTTATTAAAAGAAGAATATTTTTGACTCTAAAATACGTATGGATAAGGAATAAAAAAAAATGAGAAAGTAAAGTAATGAAAAAGAAAAGTCAGAATTTTAAATTTTGTCATGCAAAAAAATGAAACAAAGTTCTTTATGTCGATCGTCGTCGCCGTTTATGCGTGTTCTTCATCTTCCTGTTCACCACCTTCACCCTCTTCTGCAATAAAAAAGAGAACACAATTAAGATATACATAGAATACAACCCGAAATGTACTAACCTTCAGCAGTGGCATCTTGATATTGTTGATATTCACTGACAAGATCGTTCATATTCGACTCAGCTTCAGTAAATTCCTGCGAAGTCGAAAACAAAAGGCATGAGACTATAAGAAATACGAAAAGTATAGCTCACCATTTCGTCCATGCCTTCACCAGTGTACCAATGAAGAAATGCTTTACGACGGAACATAGCCGTAAATTGTTCCGAAATACGTTTGAATAATTCTTGAATTGCCGTGGTATTACCTAAAATATAATAAAAAACGGAATATCATAATGAAACTGAAACAATTTGTTCTTTTTGAATTCTTACCAATAAATGTTGCCGACATTTTAAGTCCACGTGGAGGAATATCACAGACAGCTGTTTTAATATTATTCGGAATCCATTCAACAAAATAAGATGAATTTTTATTTTGCACATTTAACATTTGTTCATCGACTTCTTTCATTGACATACGACCACGAAAAATAACAGCAACTGTTAAATATCGGCCATGACGTGGATCACATGCAGCCATCATATTTTTTGCATCAAACATTTGTTGTGTAAGTTCGGGTACAGTCAATGCACGATATTGTTGAGAACCACGTGATGTTAATGGTGCAAAACCTGGCATAAAAAAGTGAAGACGCGGAAATGGTACCATATTAACAGCCAGTTTCCGTAAATCAGCATTGAGTTGACCGAGAAAATTGTTTAAGTTATAGAAAATAATGTATATTAGTCGGAAATTCTAAGAAAAATTTACCGGGAAATCGAAGGCACGTTGTTACACCTGACATTGTAGCTGAAACGAGATGATTAAGATCACCATATGTAGGTGTTGTAAGTTTAAGTGTACGAAAGCAAATATCATACAAGGCTTCATTGTCAATACAGTAGGTTTCATCTGTATTTTCGACTAATTGATGTATTGATAATGTTGCATTGTACGGTTCAACAACAGTATCAGACACTTTCGGTGATGGTACAACACTGAATGTCATCATGATACCTACAAGAAAATGAGAATGATGAAAGTTCTTGTATCACTCTTAAGAATTAACTTACGATCCGGATATTCCTCTCGAATTTTTGCGATAAGCAATGTGCCCATGCCCGAACCAGTACCACCGCCGAGCGAATGTGTTAGTTGAAAACCTTGAAGGCAATCGCATGATTCAGCCTCTTTTCGTACGATGTCCAAGACTGAATCGACCAATTCTGCACCCTCCGTATAATGACCTTTGGCCCAATTGTTACCAGCACCCGATTGTCCTAAAATGATTAGAAAACATGAGACAAAGTAAACAAAAAATATTTATACTTACCAAAGACAAAATTGTCCGGACGAAAAAGCTGACCAAATGGACCACTGCGCACTGAGTCCATTGTGCCTGGCTCAAGATCGACGAGAATAGCACGTGGTACATATTTGCCACCTGAAACGAAAGAGCAATAATATCGATGCATTTTGTTTTTTTATCCTCTACTCACCAGCTGCTTCATTATAGTAGACATTGATACGTTCAAGTTGAAGATCCGAATCGCCATGATACGTGCCCGTGGGATCAATACCGTGTTCGTCCGAAATCACTTCCCAAAACTAGAAACACATCGAGATTTTATAAGAACATATTCAATTCAAAAGATATCAACTAACTTTAGAACCAATCTGATTACCACATTGACCAGCTTGCATATGAACAATTTCACGCATCCTTTTTTTTATTTGTGTTGAAGATGAGATGAGCGAAGTAGATGATAGTTAATCTGTAAATAGGTATGATAGAAGAATCTACGCTTTCTGATAGAAATCTAAAATATGCAACAAAATAGGAATATATAGAAACATTTTTCAACATCAAAAGACAATAGGAAATTAAAATGAAAAATCCTAGTTGAACATGGTAAAATAGAAAAAACGTATCATTCTGAATTTGAAATGTCAAATCTGTTTGCTAGATTTGTTATGACAAATTCTATAACGATGAACTCTGTATGGTTAATTTATACTGTATAAATGTATCGTATAAAATTACCAATTTTTTTTTCTAAGAGACTTTGCCATACAGAAAATGACATACACTTCGTGTTGTGTAGATTCTTTTAGTGATGTGGGTCGTAAATGTCGTAATAGAAAAGAAAAAAAAGAAAATCTCTTGCGAGCATGAAGCATTGAGAACGAATTTTTTTTCTCTCTTATAAAAAATTGCGCAGTAATGTATACTCTGGAGTCCGCGACGGAATGAATAGTAATATTTACGTCGTCATTTCTTGAAGAAAAGATCATTACGTGCATAA